GTTCCCCTCATGCCTGATTTAGTCATTTTCCAATTAAAAAAAAAAAAAAAAAAAAACTAAATTCCTGAAAAAGAATAAACAGTTTTTATTGTTACAAACAGTTGAGCAGCTGATGTCTGTATAGTCGTTTTTGACCCTAAAATCTAGAGTGCCACGACATCAAATGAGCACACAACATAGTTGTGCTCAGAACTCCCCCACGTCCCCACAGAGAGGTGACCAGGTTTACAAGAGCGGGAGCTCCGCACGACCATTTATCACACACTGAAAAAGAATAAACAGTTTTTATTGTTACAAACAGTTGAGCAGCTGATGTCTGTATAGTCGTTTTTGACCCTAAAATCTAGAGTGCCACGACATCAAATGAGCACACAACATAGTTGTGCTCAGAACTCCCCCACGTCCCCACAGAGAGGTGACCAGGTTTACAAGAGCGGGAGCTCCGCACGACCATTTATCACACACACGCACACACGCACACTGCTGCTGGGTTCGCAGTCTGTGGCTCTGAGACGCCCATGGGGAGCAAGATGAAAGGGAACATGAAGGCTGAGCTGGAGATGCTAGTGCTCGTGCCAACACAGCATCCACCAGAGCGGCTGCAGTCAGGGCGTCCGTCGCGCCTGGTCTGAAGGGCGTTCCTTAGGCTTCCTCTGGCCTTTCTTACTCAGCTGCATGATCATCTTGAACGTAAAACCGTGCAATGGGAATGAGTCCACGTGGGCTGGTGGTCCGCTGTGTATAGGACGTAAACTCTGCTGCTGGAAAGCGACGTGAGAGTCTTAGGTACAAATATGTCGGCACCTAGGGATGATACATCTTTCCCTTTCCCTCAAGATGAATTCAGAATTGACAATTTATAGTTTTTAAGCAGCTAATTATTAAACATCACATTGGGTTGAAAGATTCCATGAAATAAAAGCTACAATGGAATGCTAATTAATAACATAACCCTGTACACCATCAAACTTCTGACAATGTGGGGTTTCTTCCATAGCCTTAAAATACCTAACTGAAAAATGACTTACCTGGAAAAGAAGGCACTTTATTACCTTGAACTAGCTATTTGTATAGAATTTGTCCAAAATCCATAAAGTATTCTTTATCCTTTTATGAATTTATCCTAGTTGTATGTTTTTCTAAAGTCTCTTATAGTATAACTCAAACTATTTTAACTTAACAGAAAACTGTGTTATGTGATAGAACCAATGACCAATACAGAACTAAAAGTCAAGAATAGCAAAAGCATATGTGACAATGGCAGAACACAAAACTGTCTAGGTCCACAGTCACTTGAGGTTTAAAATGTTGTAAAAATCTGGACTTTGTCATGGGACAAGTTTGGACGTCTTTTATGTTTTAAGTCTTGTTAACTGGTACTACCTCGTCCGGTGTGGATCAAAGACATAGGCCGTCAGGATCATCAGGCTAGGCTGTCGTAACTCGTTTGTCTCAGCTGCCTTTCTTTTTCAGTGTAGCCCCAACCATTAAGTAATCAGTCTCATTTCTTCTTTGCTAGAGTCAGCCATGCCCAGTGCATTATCAAATCTAATCTTCACTGTGGGGGGTGCTCCTGAGTAGCTGTTTTCCTCTGGGAAAACTAATAGTTGACGTACAGTGCATTTAGTTGAGCAGAGAAAGTGTGGGGTAATTTTTTCAAAGGCTTCAACCCTCTCTAGTCAAACCTTAACACTTTCTGACATTTGCAAGGGTAGGCTAACTTCCATCCAAGGATAGTTTAAAGGGAACAAACTTGGCTTTCTTTGTTGTTTTTTGAGGCCAGTATACTTTTGAAAGCAGACACTGTCTTTCTATAATTGTGCTCACAGCTGAGCTCTTCTCCGTGGTGACCATTCTGTGTGTGCAGGGGTGCGTTACCCAACGTACGTGCACACTCAGAGTCAGAGCCACCTGCACCGGGTACAGGGGTCAGGCTCATCAGCGGTCTGCCCTTATCAAGAAGAGGCTAAGAACAAATTCCCTGTCAACTGTTCGTTTTGTGTCTTTGTTTTCTTTTAAATAGTATTTCTGAACCCAAAGGTGTGCTGATTCATGGCATGAACAATCTCCAACATAGACCTATCTCCTGCGTGTTTGTGATGCCGAGCAGTGGACTCTTCTCAAATCACTGCGACGCTGCTTCCCTTAGAATGTTTTGTTCAACGTTAGATTGTCATTCTGAAAGACGTTGGTCCTAGTGGGATTTTTTAAAGCTCGGGAAACAAATCCACGCATGTATTACAAGTACAGAAATGGTGAATTGTAAGCTTATCTGTAGTACTGACTTTTCAACCATGTTTCGCTGTTATATATAGACACCTACGATTGCTGCCTACTGTATGGAGTGGTACTTCCTAACGGCCCTGTTATCACTATTTCAGAAGCACAGGCTGGGCAGGCACGTGCTCAGGTCACGTATCTGCACAGATGCTTCAAGGTATATTCCTGTAGATGGGGAGTGAGACTGCTTTCCACGGCACCAGTGCGCAGTGCGCTGAGACCCGAATATACCTGTCTCTATTGCTATTGCCCATTTCTAGTATCTTTAAATAGGCCAGAATTGGCCAGACACAACTAAAAACGAGGGTTCGTTACATGCTTTCTAACAGAAAGGTTTTCAATGATACTGAGTATGGGTTTGTGCTGTGAAAATAGTGGGACTCCCTGTAAAGCTTCACATTTGCTAAATTCAAATCAATATTTTTTCTTTAGCTCACAAATTACCCTAAATCCAGAGAGACTCTCAACCCTTTTCCCTGTTGTCAAATCAAGCATAAGGACCAGCCCTATGACCCTACAAACGGTCGAGGAATCGGGCGTGATCTCTCATGCCACTCCAGAGTAAAGGCGCGAACGCAGCCCGCCGGCGGAGGCTTCTGCACGTGCTCCTCGTGGAAGGGAAGGCGCGGCCCGCGCTGGGCCCAGGCGCGGTGCCCAGGCGCTGCTGACTGGGGCAGGGCTCTGTCTTTCTAACTTGCAGAGCCCTTCCAGTTTCAGACAACCATTTGTCAGCACCGAGGGAGAGAGACTGTATCGATTTGAAAATACTTTCTTAAGAGATCATGTAACTTACATAACTCTGAATTTGAGAAACCAAGGGAGGGCCTTTCCTGCCTCTGACGAGAAGCGCTTTTCGCAAGCTGTCGCTGCGGTAGTGTTAACAGGGTACGAGGTGTTCCTGTCCTGTGCTGTGCTTGCAGGTTCTCGTTGCTTGTGACTGTGTTGTGCTGTGTGGGAGGAGTCGGATCACCTCGTGTTGTTCACGACCGACGGCGTGCGCCCGCGCACCTCTGTCCCACCGCTCCAGTGATGCATGTAAACAGTTAGGTCCTAAATCCTGTGGTGCTACTTCCTCCAGACCCGATGGTGCTTCTGTGGATGCTAACTGCACACATGCTGAACAAAGCTTGAAGTTTCCAACTGTCCTCCTTCCTTCTGTTTATATGAAGTACAAGAAAATAACTTGAATTTGTCTCAAAGTATCACTGACAATCTAATAAACTGGTTTCTATGTGTGATTAGTTTGCATTCTTCTTGTTCAGACACTGCCTCGGTTCTGCGGGCCCCTGCAGTGGGCCTCACCGTGCATTCCTTTCCTCACCCCATCAGTGGCGTCTTTAGGAATCGAAGTCCAGCCTCCAAGATTATGCTGAGGTAGGAGCTGTAAAACCCAGATGGTCAGACCTGGAAATAAGCAGTGAGAAGTCAGATAGTGCCGGAGAGGCCTTTGTCTGCCTCGGGTCTGAGGCAGGAGGTGACCTTTGTAAGACAGCAAGTTTGCCTTCATGGCCCTTGTTGCAGCTTGAGTGACATCAAAAAGGTCGATCCTGCAGGCTCATAAAGGTAGCAGTTCTGCTCCTTGTCTATGAAAACAAGCACAAAGAGCTCAGATGTGGTTTTCAGGAAGACCAACATCATGTCCTGGGAACACCCGAGTAAGGGCCTCTCCCACTAGCAGAGGGCACGTGAGGCTGCGGACACCTTCCCAAGCCCTAGAGAAGCCCAGTGTTAATGCAGTATGCAAATTTGCATTGAAGCTTTGGTATTTTGCCTACTCCACGAGGTAGTCAAAATTTCTTTTAAATTTTAAATTTTCTTTTAAAATTTTATAAGAATAAAATAGAAACAAATATATTGAGGCTCTTCAAGCAGCAGCCGTTGACCTTAACTAGATGATCAAACCTATCAATGTAACTAGCGGGTCTGATGACTGAGGTGGCGTTCCCATACTGCTACAGTTCTTATTCTGCAAGGAGCTCAGGGCACATTCACTTTACTTCAAATATGTATTAAATCGTGCCTAACTCCCAGCATCAGAAAATGAATTTCAAGAGTAGAGCCAGTGTGAGTACTGGGCTTGCTTGTCTGAACTCTCCTGAACAAGTACAGTATCTCGAAGTCTGAGCCTCGCCCCGAAGGTGCTGCTACAACTGTTTGTTTTTTCAGGTTTCGCTATAGGGTTTGTGCACTCGCCTGAGAGACAGACAGAGAGAGAGGGAAAGTGATAAATCACCCCCTGGGGCAGGGGAGCCACACCACAATCCCTTCTCTTCCATTCTCCTCTCAGGATTTTGGGCACACAAGCACATGTGCCCAGTGTGATTTTTAAGCTGCCATGTCTGGGACGCGAACCCTTGTCAGCTATGTGGGAATCCAGAGCCTTAAGCACCATGCCACCTCCTGGCTCACTATAGTACTATTTGTGACTATCTTTCAGTATTCTGTTTTATGAAAACTGGTGCATCATAAATGTACTAAAAAATGATTCCACATTTTCTTTTCATGAAAAAGAGAAAGTAGATCTGAGAATCTTCGGGGGATTTTTTTTTTTTTTTTTTTGTAGAGAGAGATTGCTATACGGTATGTGCACTCGCTGGAGAGATAAAGAGAAACAGAAACAGAGACAGCAAGAAATCACCACCACCACCCCAGTGGGGATGTCCATGCCACAATCCCTTCTCCATTCTTCTCTCAGGATCTTGGGCACACATGCACATATGCCCAGAGTGAGTTTTAAGCCACTGGGTCTGGGACGTAAACCGCAGTCGACTATGTGGGTGTCCAGCAACGTAACCATTATGCCATCTGTGGTCCCTCTTCAAAAGATTTTTACTCTGTGGTAATAGCATACCTGTTACTCAAAAGAGAAGCTAATTCTAATTTTATGACAGAATGAGAGAATAAATGAGTTGTTTTTGGAAAAACAAATCTTTTTAACCTACTTGAAAAAATTTATAATTTAACCTCCCAATAAACCAGATTGCTGTATTAATAGTCACCATAATGTTTGTCACAACTAAAATAATTCTCAAAAATGTTATCAGCTTTTTTTGGTATTGAAATTATTTGTAGGACTCTTCAGCCTTAAATAAAATGAGTACACTTTGTAAGTTTGGTTCATTTATGAAAATAATGCAGTCCCTCTCTAAATGAAACCATGATTTAAGGTTTTTTTTTAATTACACAATTACCTCTGTATAGTTTAATCACTTTGGAAAGTTGACTTTCTGTTCCTAAAATAGTAATTTCCTCAGCGATGTTCTCTCAAGGTGTCTCCCCTAAGTCCTTGTGGAAAGGCATCTTAAACGATGCAGCGTTCTCCGGCGAGGACCCTCTTTAAGACGAATCGATGTATGCTGAAGGTGTCCGCGGGGCGGTGGGTTCGATGACCAGCACCGGCCGTCTGGGCCGTCTGTCCCCGCCACCGTTTGATCCGCCCGCGTGCTTCTCTTTAAGCTGCGGGCGGCGCTGCGCGCTCATGCGCACTGGGACCAAGGCGCTGGAAACACCCGGGAACGCGCATGGGCGGACGGAGCCGAGGCTCACGGGGCTGGGGTCTAGCTGACACCCGCCCCGCGCGGGCCTCCACTTGTCGCAGACCACGCCGGCCGTCAGGAAAAGCTGGAAGACTAGCCGGCCGCGGCAGGACTCGGCCGAAGGGCCAGCGCTCGCTCCTGTGTGCTACCGGCCTTTCTGAGCCAACTCCCAGGCGCTTTTAAAGCAGCCGCAATGAGAACCGACGGGGCGGCCAGCCAGGTGACGGCGGGCAAGAGCGCCGCCCCAGCGGCGGGCGTGGGCAGGGGCCTGCAGCCTGCGAAGGAGGGGCTTCCTGTTCTCTCGTGCGTTCTCACCACTGCTTTATGATAGCGTGTGTGCTTCTGGTAATGTCTTACGCGGCTTACTACAGGAAGAAAATACCGCGGAATGCGAGACAGACCAGAGTACCCGCACGGTCGGCTGGGCAGACACTCTCCTTCCCGTGGGAAAATCGACTTCTAAAACCTAACGCCAGCCGGGTGGTGAGCAGGCCGCGACGCCGGCCGTCGGGGCCACCCGGAGATCCAGGCGCACGCCCTGGGACCTCTGCGAGCACACGGAGCGGGTGACTCCTGGCGAGGCAGGGGCGCATCGCAGCATCCGCCCCCTTTTGTGGGTGCCATCTGTCTCCCTCATGGGAGAAATAAACTTCTTGAAATCCTGTTTAATGCCAGGATTAGCTAACGGGAGGTGGAGACAGTCGCGACCAGGAGGTATGAGGGCAAGGTCCTCGGGCAGCCCTGCCTGAGCACGGACGGCCCAGGTCGGACACGGAAACCCTGCCTTCCTTTCGCTGCCAGTCTTCGTCTGGATCCCGGGCGACTCGCCCTTTCAGTGTGAAATATTACTGCTCACAGACCATAACTAAGCCATGGACTAGCTTACAGTGAGTGTCACACAGGGTCCTCAGTGCTGTAATGCCACTTTTTAGCTATCACTCATCGTGCATGTCAGAGCCCGTCTTTCATTTCTCAAGTTCATTTGTAGTTTGCCAGGCCCTCGCCCCGTGGGGTGCTCAGAGGTCTGGGCCATGAACGCAGGACAGGTCCCAGGTGGTCCAGCCTGGTCCTAACTGCCTGACACCGCCCGCCATGACCTGTCAGGGAGAGGTCTGCAGGACACCCCAGGCCAGCAATGGTGACTAATGGGAGTGTAGCCCCCTCCTTTGGCTCGTGGTGGACCTTGCCATGGCCATGGCTTTTGGGGCAATGCCCGAATACACTCTGGGACCTTCGCAGCACAGTGCTCCAGGCAGCTCCTGCTGTGGGAGCAGGCAGGCAGCCTCTGCCTCCCCTCCTGGGAGTGCACGGGGTCCTCCCCGAGCAGAGGGAGAGGGACAGCCATGCTGGAAGAGGAGCTGGGGGTTGTGACCTAGGCAGGGCGCCCCAGGGAGGCTGAGAGCCTGTGCAGGTGAGCGTCAGGCAGCCAGGGAGCCTTGAGCCAAGCCCCGTCCAAGGGCCACATCAGCAGGTGGATCTGCTTTGAGCCCACCCAGCTCAGCCAGGCCGGGAGACCACGGCCAAGTGAGCGGGAGGTGTGAGGCCACGGCCAGCACACCCCACCATGTGGCAGGCCCAATCATGCCAGGAGCATGTCCCCAGCCCACAAGGCCGCCTGGCGCTCTCTGTGCTGTCGCCCTGTGCTGGGAAGCATCCCGCAAGATGCCCGGCCCCTCCCTCGGCCACGTTCCAGCCCTCATACCAACTGCCCAGCCACTTTGTCACATGGGTCTTTGGTGCCTCTCCCACAGTGGCTGCGCCTTCTCTCAACATGGCTGTGCGATCAGAAACTATGGCCAAGCATATCACTCCTGGGCCCACCCAGCCCACCATCGCCATGGGCAGCCTTGGCCTGCCGCGCTTGCCCCCAGCTCCCCGGACGTGGGCTGCCCAGGTCTTCCCTCCTGGCTGCCTGGCCCGGTGGCTCTGCACTTCTGCCTGATCTGCAGCCAGGCGCCTGCCCAACTGCCATCCACGATGGAGGGCCCCGACCCCCAAGTCTCCGGGCGCCCATGCCGCTGATTGCTCAGGTGCGCGGCCCTCCTTTTCTGTGCACCCCTCCGAAGGCCACAACCATCACTCCCCTGTCCCCTCTGTGATGTCGCCCAGGTCGCACTAGCACTGGGCGGATACCCCTTGTGCCTGTGACTGTGTTCCACCATCCCCAGGCCAACATTCTTGCCCCCGCGGGATTCTTGGTCCTCCTGGTGCCATCCAGTCCTCCAAGTACCAGCTAGGCTCAAATTAGCTATGTGGGAGCCCAGGACAAATGCTGGCGAGGAGAGAGGGCAGCTGGGGCCTCTGGCCAGCTCAGCCAAGACTGACCTGCCCCTTGGAAAGGGCAGAAGGGACAGCCTGCCTACAGCATTGCTCTGAGGAAGTTTCTGGAAGCCCAAGGTGCCCGTCCAATCCTGTGTCTCCAAAAACGGGCTGCCTTATATCGTGCCACCAGCAGGCCAGGGGGACTGGATGGCAGTGGTGCTGTCCTGGACGCAGACAGGGAAGGAGGCCACTTCCCACTCTGATGGCCACTCTCACCCTCTCCTGTCTCCTGGCAACCACTGACCTACCTCCAGCACAGGATGAGTTTTCATTTTCTAGAACCTTACTTAAATCGGCACACACAGGGTTCACTCTGTCTGGCTTCTCTCATCGACACTGAGAGTCCTCTCCTGACAGAGGCTCCGGTAAGTAGCTCCTTCCCCTGGCTGAGCAGTGCTCCCCCGCAGGACACGCGTTGTGCATCTGCTGGTGAACACGTGTCATGCCCATCCTAGGTATGTAAAGTAGGCTGCGATGACAGTCTCATCTGTGTGGTCACACACACCTGAATCCCTCCTCGGCAAGGAGGTAGGAACGTTGTACCCATCACAACGGCCGAAGGTATTCCAGCAGTGGTGGTTGAAGGATGACCTTCAGGAACTGCAAGCTCCCTCCCCGGGGCTGTCCCCTGTGCAGTCCCGCCCCAGCTCCTCCACGTCCTCACGGATGCTCCAGTCGCTCCGTGTGGGCGGTGCTTCGCCCCCGCCCTGTTCCCGAGGGTATGGGGTATCTTGTGTGGTTGTTTGCATTTTGCCTTAACGCATACCTTTTCCTGAAGCCATATCTTACCATTTTGTGATACATCTGACCAAAAATAAAACTCCGAACAGCGAGTCGCTTGTTCAAACAGAACGTCTTCACTCCTGTCTCCTTTCTTGTGCTTGGTTCTTCTCATCCCATGATCCCCGAGGCTGCCACAGAAGCCCTCGAACGTCCCTCTGGCCCTTCTGAGTCCTCTTCCAGCAAGCAGGGCCTGTACCTGCCCCTCAGCCCACTCACCCCAGCCCGTCCCTGCCCTTCTCCGCCCTGCAAAGCCCTTGCCGTGAGGCCCGCTAGCCCTCCTGTCCCCTGGCTCGGGTCCAGCTCTGACCATTACCCCTGTTGCCCAGGCCAGCAACGACCAAGGCTCCTCCCCCTCAGGCCCGGGGCAATACGAACTGTGCGCTCTTCCCTCCCTTTCCCAGTTTTAAATGTCAACTTCGGAAAGTACTTCCAGGGGCTAGCAGGTGGTATGGTGGTTAAGATGCTGGACTCCCACACCACATGGTCCACTGCGGTTTGGGGAGTCCCACACCTGGAGGCCTGCTTTCTCACTTTCTCTAGCTCTCTTAAGCGCATGTGCCCTGCAGCAAAATTTTAAAAACATAATAATAATGATAAAGTTAATAATTCTTCAACTAAAGAAGACAGTTCTTCCAGTACACAGGCCTGGCACATACTTGACGCACGCTACTCTTCGAGATAATAAAAGGGGGAGGTTCGTGGACAGAGATAAAGGGACAACATGCACTGGCCAGAAAAGTCGGCTGAGTTTTCGGTGCAACCCTGGACAAACGCTGCCACGGCTGGGACGGAGCAGCCTGCAGGCGCCTGTCCTCAGAACACCCCCAGGTCACTTGGGGGATGCCCCTCCAGGACAGAGGAGGAGCTGCAGCAGCTTGCCAGGCGCTGGCCCACTGCAAGCTCCTTCTGGATCTGTGGGAATGGCTGGCCAAGCATGTCCCCCCAGCGTGGCAGCTCTCTGTCTGCTAGTCCCGTCGTAGGTTTCTACCTGCGTGGTGTCCCGGCACTGACACCACTCAGGGCAGCTTGAAGGCTGAAGCCACTAAGGTGGGCCGTGTCATCTCAGGATGGTGCTCCTCAGCAGAGACAGGATGTAAAACTGTCCTGGCAGTTCTCAAAGGAGACTGGAGAGCGAGAGAAGTTAGCAGCAGCAACACCCACCACGGGCGAGTGTTTGCCCAGCGAGGCTTCACACAGAGCAGGCCTCTCCTGGCTGCACTCTGCCGGGGGTCTCATGACCGAGTTACCCAGTCACCGATGGCATTCTGCATCACCTGGGGAGCAGACAGCAATTGCACGTCAGGTCAGGGGAGCACTTGAAGCCGAGGCCGCCTCCCGTTAGCAGAAAACCCCTCGTCCTGGGAACCAGCAGTTAGCGTAATAGCTATGTCCCTGGACTCCCACGTAGTCGACCGCGGTTCACGTCCCGGACCCAGTGGCTTAAAACTCACGTCGGGCGCGTGTGCGTGCGTGCCCAAGATCCCGAGAGGAGAATGGAGGAGAAGGGATTGCGGCGTGACCATCCCCCCGGGGGCGATTTCTCGCTTTCTGTCTCTCTGTCTCGCTCTGTCTGTCTGGCGAGCGCACACGCCCCATGGCGAAAATCTCTCACAAAAAAAGAAAACCGCTCGTCCTGATTCAGAAAGCCCGTACCACATTTACCACGGCCCCTGCACGCTGGACACTGTGCTTTTCACGGAGCAGTGCCCTTCCATGTGTCTGTGTGTGCGTGTTTATCCACCCTCGCACAACTGGCAGCCTAGCAGAGGGTCGTCCTC